TCACCTTCAAGCGGGCCCTGATTCCTTGGGCACGCATTGCCGCTTGTATGCCGGAGTGTCTTTTATGGCGCTCTCGGCAGAGCGTTGCCGCTTGGTGGCCTCCACCTTGATGGCGAAACCGGTCGTTGATGCCATGTTAGGAGGCTTGGCAAAGTGTAGCCTGCTCTCCTCGATCCTTTGCTCGGCCCAGTTGAGCTTTACCTTCTCCTCTTCGGATAGCTTCGGGCAGCTTTTTTCCGGAGCCGGCTTTGGATTCGAAGGGCAGCTTTATACTGCCCCTTATCCTACTTCCCCTCGTTTGAACGCTTCAGCCCGTCCTGCGCGGGGAGCTGGTGCCTGGTTCCATTCATAATAAAACAAAAACTAAACATATAAATCAATAAATAAGAAAGTATGGGCATTTCAAAGAAAGGTCCATCGCACATACATACATACTTAACATAGTTACATAAAAAATAGTCAGATTGGAAAAATTTTGTATTTTCCTATATCTATATATATAAAAGAAAGTCATGTCTGTTACACCACTTATTGGTAGGGAGGTAGCTTAGAGCCAATAGACAGATATAGGATACTTTTTATCCCGATTACAGCAGGAAGAAACCTCAGTGCCAGAGAGGATCCCACGTCGGATCTCCTAGCGAGGATCGCAGCGTTGGGGAAGGTTAAAGGTTAAAGCTATGGAAAGTAATCACAGGATTATGAAGGCGTAAAGGATGATGATCGCGATGCAGTGAAGTCGCTATAGATTCATCCGGGTAACGTCAGCGCCGTGATGGAGCAGCTTCCATTTAGGTTGGGCCGACCGGAGCACCTTAATCGCAGCCAGCTGAACAACGTGCGAGAAGTGCAACCAATTTCGGAGCACAATCTAGCGAAAATCGTTCCCTTCGCAACCCGAGTGAGTAACCTCAATACTTTCTTGCAGGCGGCGATCCTTAATGGAGGAGCTTGTGGCCAAGCTCCCTACAGGAGTACGTGTCTACCGTTTTGGATGTAGAGGGAAAGGAGTCGAGGCGTCGAGTTCAACATGCTAACATTGACGTCAGCAAATGCGATCAAGAGGATGACCGGCACAGATGTTACCTAATCTGTGGAGAACAACATGCAGTTACTAACTGCAGGGAATTTACTGGAGCTTCGGCACCGGGCAGGTGGAGCATTATGAGGAGGCATCAAAGTGGGTAAGTCCTGCAACGTGCACAGTGAGAGTCAGATCAATAGATGACGCAAGTTACATCACCGTCTGCTGCGTGGCGCGGACGATGAGTAGGGGCCGCAGCAGCGAGGTAGCTTCAGTCGCCACAATGGAGGGAACCAGCAGTCAGAGGTTTCCAGACTCAGCCCGGACAGGAGGTTTTTGCCACGAGATGGTTAGAGGGACCACGAGGCGAACAGCAGCCCGAAGAGAGGGGCTCCACAGGAAGCGAGTGCGCTCGTGCAGAGGAGTTTAAACTGCGTTAACGCCGAGGGAGGCCGACTTCTGTTCCGTATACTGATTGTACGATAATTGACGACGAGCTACGGAGGTATCTGGGAGTTATAGAAGAGCGCTGACAGCTAAATATCCAATGGTTTGGAGGAAGGGCATCAAGAGAGACCACCAACGTGCTGAGTCTGAATATAAGTGGAGTACGAGAATCCATGTACTAAGAAACTTGTATGCCATTTCGAGCTTGAGTCTACCGATGCAGACGTTAACTCGGCAGGATATTCAGGGTGTCCATAAGGATACGCGACCGCCGATGAAGCTTTACAGGATCGTGGCGCCGATGTTGCTCATCAGCCTGTATCATGAACATCTGGGACTGCCATTTAGAACAAGGCGATTTGCCATACGATTTGCCATATTTCGCATACGGTCCGACCGCAACCGAGCTAGGCTTGGTTGTTTTCGGGCCCGTAAGTGGGCAGTTGACTACGCCATCACCGAGGTTCCGCAACTTTGGTGTGAAGCTCGTGCCACATGCATCGTGCCGACGACATGCGGGCACAAAGGATACTCGAAGACACCAAGGACGACCACTTTAAGCTGCTCAGAGCTATGAGATGGCGAAAAAACGGCTGGTCGATGTCTAAAAGAAGATGAAGCGCAACGAACAGTTGGCGTTAGAATACTGACGGATCATAAAGGATTATGTGTTAAAAGGATACCCGAGGCAGACGCAGCCATATGAGGTCGCGGAGAAGAGTGACCGGATATGGTCGTTGAAAACCCGAACAAGCACGGTAAGGTCCCGCTTGATGGACCGGGTGGATGGACATACAAATACAAAGGATTTTTTTTGGCCACTGTTGGTGACTGTTTCCCGTCGACCTGTCGACGGATTCTTGCATCATCGCAATTTGGAATTTCGTCTGCTGTAGAGAACCAGTACATAGACTGCGCAGCGATAACGGCAAGAGCTTCGTTGGAACTGACAGAGAGGCCAGATGCTTTACAGACTAGTTCAAGATGGAAAAAATTCAGAATGAGCTGTCAAGCAGAAGCATTGAATGGATTTTCTTCATCGAGGCGGAGAATCTCGTGAATTCGCGTCCGGTTTCCCACTTTCCGGTGGAAGCATGCCAAGAAGCACTGTTGACGAAAAATTACCTACTCAAGAGAGTAGCCAACCTGCCGGATACCCCTGGCTTGGGTGCGGTATTGCCCAAGGAATGTTCAACACGAAAGCAGTGGAGGATTGCTCGCCTGCTGCAAAGACCGTTTCTAGAAGAGCTGGATCCTGGACTACCTACCCACTCTTGTGCGCTGCTAGAAGTGGTGCCGGAGGACGGAGCACATCCGTCAGGGCGACTGGTCTTCATCTGTGATCCTGCCTTGCTCGGACGAGAGTGGCGCAAGGGCTTCGTGGAGGAAGTCTATAGCAGAGCTGATGGAGTCGCCAGACGCGCTACGATGCGCATAAACGATAACGGCATATTTTGCAGTTTTGAATTGAAAGAAGCGGTTATCCACGGGATCGGAGATGTCGACAATCGAATATTGTAATCGATAGCCGAAGTTAGTACTGTTTATGGGGAAGACAACCAATTTGCCACCCTTTAGCAATAACTAAGAACGCACGAAGAGGTCGATTAAATGCTGTATATATATTTTCGTTTTCTGTTTCTTTTCTCAGGTCGGAGCTGCAACTACCGATCAAATGCTTGACTTTAACATATATCAAAACGTTTACAATGTAGCTAAGCTTAAAAGATAAGGCGACAGAAGAAGAAGAGAGAGAGAAATAGATAAGGAAAGAAAAAGCTAAGAGCGCAGCAGGTGCAGCCATACACCCATGCGCGCACAATTAGGCGCTAGCGGTCTGCTCCGAACAAGTACATTTAAAGTGAAAAAAAAATACTAATTGATTTTGTGCCAAAGCTATTATTAACTGCCAATATTGGGCGTTTTATTGTCGTGCGAGATAAGGCGGACAAACTGCGGTGAGCGCGATCCAGAATTAACTAGAATGTAATTTAAGTTTAAATTCATTTTTCTACAGAATAAAACGTACGTGCTTCATATAAACTATCGGCCTCGGGCCAGAAGTCTTCCCTTTTGTGTTGACGGGAACTAGAGATGTGGAGCCGTTAATGGCAAATTCAAGTGACTCGCGACAATATTACTATATTATTATTATAATATTAAATAAATCTATAAATATTTTTAAAAATATTTTATTTCTCTTTAAAATCGCAAAAAAGTAATTAAAATAAAAATATATATATATATATCTATAAAAGTGTTAATGATTATTAAATTATTTATTAATAAATAACATTACTTCTTGTTTACATAAAATAAAATATTTCTAAAAAAAAATTTTACTTTAAAATAATTTTAAATTCGTGAATATATAATATTTAAGATATACTTCGCAATTATTATTTAGATTAAGCCTTTAAAAATATTAAAGTGCAGCAAGTACAGTTTTTTATTGCAAATATGTATCTTCAGTTGAGCTCGAATTCGTCAAACAAACAAAAACAAAAACGAGTTCAGACAATATTTGGGTGTTTCTTTTCACCCTGTTTTCTTAGACCGTCTTGCTCGCACCCATGAGAAATGTATGCATATTAATAAGTTTATTAAATCAAATCAATGATAAGGTGCCGTCGGTGAATCCCGGCCTTGCGCTTCGTCTTGGTGGAGATACGCTGTGAGTTTAGACTCCAAGTCCAATGGTTGTTGATTGCCGGCGCCCGGCTTGTGTATCGAGTCCTTCGAAGCATTGTGCCGTAGCACGCGCTCGCACCCTTTAGGCAGTAATAAAAAAACCGGGTGCCAAATAGACTCGGGTGTTTCTTATTACCGCGAGTAGGGTACCATCACTAACCAAGAAATTCATAGAGAAGTCAAACAGTACAAAAAGTACTATCACAAAAACGGCTAAGCCTTTCTCTGTAAAGACATTTGCTTTAACCAGCAACCCCGATGTCGCTGAATGACTAAATATATCGATTGTGCAATTTGTATGGAATAGCTATTTCCAGCTGCAGATAGAATGTATAGAATATCCTAAAAATTTGTTATCCTTAGTGCCACATATTGATGCTCTAAATTTTGTTGTTATTATATTTATTTCTATTTATTCCTTTTTTATCCATCGATATTTTTATCATTGCTTTAAAAATATGTTAAATGTAAGAATTTTTAATAGAAAAAGTGGATATATGAGTATTCTTAGAGGGCAATTTTCGACGCTGCTATGATGAAAGTAGTCTGCATTAAAATGTGAAAAAAACCGGATCAGCTGCTCGACATTTATATGTCAAAGCAGGATGTAAATAAGATAAGGGGTATAAAAAAAACTAATGAAAATGTTTATAAATTTTTGTCGTTTGTTGGTAGAAGTGGCTGATAGTTTATTGTGTTGTGCGAACGCGAATTCCATTTCCCTTACATATAATCGTTTCTCCTAAAATCAATGTAATGTAATGACTCCATTTTATTTTGTCAAATACATTCAATGGGAATAGGCTATAAACGACGACACACTTTAAGAGACATCGATTTATTTCATAATCGGCAACAGAAACAAGGAGCCTCGTTTTTGTCTTTACGTATTAATATTTCAAGATTTCACAATTTTATCGAACAGAAACTATAAAATGTGAAGCTACAATTGCAAGAAAAATTTATTGCCAAGATCTTGGTTTAACGAGTTTGCTATTCTTCGTTTTTTATTAATTACAAACAAACTTAATCGCTTGAACTTCAATGACATCAAAGACAATTTTCAGGTCAAAATATTCGTTAGTACAATATATATTGTTGATAATCGTCATATAAAATATTATCATTTATTTTAGGAAATTACACGTAGGACTGTGCATAGGCCTGAGAGAACAGCTTATTTCTAAAGATACATAAACAGGCGTGCTTTAAGACTTTCATATTTGTTTAAAGGGCAAATGCAGGACAATCGCAATAACTATAACAGTGGCAACCATGTTACACCTCTCCCACACACGAAAATGCACCGTAATTTTAAACTCTTAGCTGATCCACAGTTGATAAAATGCGGCGCCAAACTGTACCGCTACGACGGTGTTGTGCCAGGTGACGCGACCTATCCAACAATAACGCCGAGGGATCCCCGCAATCCGCTTATTCGCATTCGTGCCAGGCCGGTTGATCCCCTTATGCTGCTTATACCAAGGTAAAATAAGTCAAAATATAATTAAATAGCACTATAAACAGTTGAAACAACATGCAGATTTGTAATTGATTCTGATTACGTTGGACAACCACCTGCTATTGAAGTTACGGTTATCAACCTGAATGACAACATTGATAGACAGTTTCTGTCTAGTATGTTGGACAAGTGTGGAACATTCGACGAAATAAATATTTATCATCATCCTACAACAAACAAACATATGGGAATTGCCCGCATCGTGTTTGAAAGTGCCAAAGGAGCCAGACAGTTTGTGGAAAAATACAATGAAAAGTCGGTGATGGGAAAGGTATGGTAAATGTTAATATATTTGTAATCAAACTCTAATATGTTTACTTTAGATATTAAATGTGTTTTGCGACCCATTTGGTGTTATTTTAAAAAAAACTCTAGAAAGTCTCACAAATCGATGTGTGGGGAAACCTATACCTGGTACCGACGTATATACCTATTCCCAGCAAGATTGCGATTTTAATCAGGGTTGTACTGAAAGTGACTCCTTGGATCTTTCTGGGTACAACCCCTTACAAAATAATCTTGATGTTGGCGTGCGCTGTAGGGAACGTATCTGGGATCGCGACAGAGACAGAGAGAGAGATCGTAATTTCAAAGATCGTAGCCGATTGGAAAGAACCTATAGTCGTGAGCATGGAGTTCGTGAAAAACATTCTGCATTTTTAAAATACGATCGACATTATTATAGACAACGTTCTAGAGATAAAAGTCCTGAAGTTCCAAGGGACAGAATATTTATGGAAGAGAGCGTGACTATCACCGTTCTGGAGAAAGAGATACAGCTCGGGATCGACTAAGACCCGAGAACAATTAAGAGGAAAAAAAGAACACCGGCATAACTCGCCAAAAGAACGAGAGTACCGTGACAGAGAACGCGAAAGGTATACAGAAACAGATAGAAGGGACCGAACAGATCCTAAATATAATAAGCGGTACAGTCATGAATATTTCGAAACTAATAATATCAGCTCTTCCAATTTGAGAAGGAATCAATACTATTCTGAAGCTACAGGATCTACTAGACACTATAGCTTTAATAGTTGTTCTTACTCCTCGCACGAAAATATTCAATCATGGATTGGACAAAAAAATTGAGCGGGGTTCAAACAAAATTTCATTCTCAATTAAATCCACCCGCCTCTCAAGAAGAGGAAGAGAACTGGGACAATATAGATTTAAAACTTGAAAAAAATGTTATTGCGTGTTCTTCGCAATCGGTGACCGCTAAAAGTCAATCGCCAAAATCTATGAACTTTGAATACGAGTCCAAAGAAAAAACCGAAAGAGAAGTAAGCTCAGAACCAGAAAATGTAGACTTAGATACTCGAATAGCATTAATATTTAAAGGGAAAACGTTTGGAAATGCGCCACCATTTCTTCAGATGGATAGTAGTGACTCCGAAACAGATAAAAGCAAGCAAGCTAAATCTATAGACATTAACTTCGATTCCAATAATTCAGAAAATAAAACAAAATCTATCCAAAAAAGTATAATGGCTGTTCAACCGCAACATGGGGCAAGTGATATTTCAAGTGACGATGAAATTATTGTTAAAAAAATAGATTTAAAATCGGTTCTACTACTCAAAACGACAAAAATGATGACAATATGTCATTATCGAGCTTATCTTCTCATGAGGATGCGACCCAAGATATATTAGCTTCGGAAGATGGGACACCTAGAAAGCATACTATATCCTCGTCCTACATATATCACAGTCCATCTAATCAACATCCGTATTATTATCAAGCTTCAGGCTATGGGCACTATCCTTCCACTCTCACACCAGACTCTGGTTTAACCAGCAGATATTTATCAAACGCTGCTTATATGCAGCCGGTGTATTTGGCAGGCGTTACTGCATTTAGCTTGAATGCATACGACAAAACTTTTAACTACCAATATACCGTTTCAGATCAGAGTGACGAAATGACAGCCAAATTAAAACAAGTTATAAACTATATTGTGGAAGAGCTAAAGCAAATCTTAAAACGAGATGTAAACAAACGAATGATTGAAGTAATAGCTTTCAAAAATTTTGAAGCATGGTGGGATGAGCATACGTTAAAATCTCGTTCTAAAACTTTAGTAGAATTACCTGATTCTGCATTAAATACTACCTCAGTTGTTCAAAAAGAGGCTCTTTGTAATGAGAAGGCGCCTGATATTAATCAATTCATTAATACACAACGTGACATTCTAGATTTTCAATCATTTTCAAGTATAGGTATAAGAGCAGCAATGCCTAAGTTGCCATCTTTTCGACGCATTCGAAAGCATCCTAGTCCTATTAGTCCTAAACGACATACAATAGATCGAGATCTTAGCGATCAAGAGGAAATGGTACAACGTTCGGACTCTGAAAAGGAAGATTCTAATATTGGCAGTTCTGATGTTTTAGGTCCCAGTTTAAAGGAGAGCATTTTAAATAAAGATTTGCCGCCACTTGTTAATTTAAAGAGAAAGGAAAGTATTTCAAGTTTCTTTTCTTCATCGTCATCGTCATCTAGTGAAGCTGAAAATGAAATCAATGAATATGGTGAAGTCGAACGAAACAGTGAAGATGATAGTCTTGAAGAAGAGCATCATAAAAGAAATCGGACCCAACGGCAAAAACTTACAAAGAATAAAGTTCGTTCAAGTCTAGCACCTACTAAGAATATGACATTTAAAAATATATACTCGGATTCTGATGAGGACAAAAAACGAAATAAGGAATTTGGCTTTACAAGGCGTGGTCGAACGAAAAAAATAATATTTATTCCGATACAGATGAAGAAAATGAAAATATTGTAAAGAATAAGATATTTTTATCTTTTCCTTCTGATCTCGAAGATATCAGCAAAGACAGTAGTTTTGGGTTAGGGGAAAATGAAAATGACACCGCATTTGTGCCCCCAGGTAGGGTTACACGAAAAATTGAAGAATGTCAGCGCTCACCTACACCTGTACCTCCTCCAGACTACAATGAAGAGGAAATAGAAAAAATAGATCGTTATAAACAAAAAAGCTCGTTTGAATATGATCGGATTTACAGCGACTCGGAGGAAGAGCGTGAATATCAGGAGAAGAGGCGAAGAAATACAGAGTATATGGCTCAAATTGAACGGGAATTTTTGGAGGAACAGGGGAGGAAAAACGAAAACCATTTAGATGAGAGCCGCAAAATGGCTTCAGTAAATAGCCAAAAATCACCGCCTCATGACCCTGCACAGAATCCCGATATTTCAAAACTCCAATCGATAATATTGAATAATTTAAATGAACAAGATGAAAAACTTTCTCTCAAGAAAAGTAAAATGCAAATGATATTATCGGGGAAATAGTTAATAAACCGGGATATAATGAAAAGCCAAAATTGAATAATGACGACTCGCGTTCGTTTAAATCTTTCGATGGCGATGCTCGAGATTACAAAAAGTTATGCACAAATTCCAATGAAGAAAATAAAATAAGTCAATCACCGGCCTCGTCAGACGGAGGCTCTAGTCAGGCATCACAAGCAAGCCAAGTTGCGCTAGAACATTGCTACTCATTGCCGCCACAAGCACAGTTTGTTTTCTCCAGCATCCCATATTATAAGCTTAATGATCAGGGTACAAATATGTTGGATCATAAACGGGAAAATAATAAGATTGGTGTTGTCCAAATAATACGATCAGGGCCAGGCAGACCCCGTAAAGATTCTAGTCGTGCTCAAAGAAAAAAGAAGGACATAATCCCACGTCAGACGAATGAAAAGATGGAAATAGAACCAATTATAAACACATTTGTCGAGCTTGCACGGCAAACTACGAATTTTGTTCCACATCAAATGTATAAAGCTCGTGATCAAAATGAGGAAATGGTTATTTTATACACTTTTCTTACAAAAGGCATTGATTTAGAAGACATTAACTATATAAAAAAGAGTTATTCGGAGCATTTGCAAAAGGAACCATACGCGTAAGTATTATTTATAAGTAAATTATGTAATATATTAATGCCTTTTTTTTTAGAATGTTTCTAAACAATACGCATTGGGTAGATCACTGTACAACTGACCGAGCATTTTGGCCGCCTCCGCCAAAGAAGCGTAGGAAAGATGATGAACTAATACGTCATAAAACTGGTTGCGCCCGGACTGAAGGATTTTATAAATTGGATGTTAGAGAAAAGGCCAAGCACAAGTACCATCATACAAAAGCAAATACAGAGGATGCCCACAATGAAGACCGTACTGAAGATCCTACAGCACTTACCAATCATCATCACAATAAATTAATTTCCAAAATGCAAGGCATTTCCCGAGAGGCGCGGTCAAACCAGAGACGACTTTTAACAGCTTTTGGTTCTATGGGCGAATCTGAGCTTTTGAAATTCAATCAGCTCAAGTTTCGGAAAAAACAGTTAAAGTTTGCTAAGTCTGCTATACATGACTGGGGGTTGTTTGCAATGGAGCCTATAGCTGCAGATGAAATGGTAATTGAATACGTAGGTCAAATGATTCGACCCGTGGTTGCAGATTTAAGAGAAACCAAATATGAAGCGATTGGAATTGGTAGTTCTTATCTATTCCGGATTGACATGGAAACTATAATCGATGCTACTAAATGTGGAAATTTAGCTCGATTTATTAATCACAGTTGCAATGTAAGAACTGATGCATGTATTGCTGAATATCTTATTTACAAATTTTTAATATTTTTGTTCAATTTCAGCCAAATTGCTATGCAAAGGTCATTACCATAGAGTCTGAAAAAAAATTGTTATATATTCGAAGCAGCCTATAGGCATTAATGAGGAAATAACGTACGATTATAAATTTCCGCTGGAAGAAGAAAAAATACCTTGTCTATGTGGAGCCCAAGGTTGCCGCGGTACTCTTAACTAAAGCTTACAATATGTGTATACTCCTATAAATCAGTCGCATATGTTAAATATGTCGACAAATTAAAATTTATTGTTTGTTCAGATGCAGATAGTTTTATTTATTATACTCGCAATTCCTCTTTAATATAAGACATACACGTAATAAGAGTAATAATACTGTTTTAAAATTTATAGAACAATTATAATTAAGTTACAAGTTATTTAAGATAAAGTAATGTAGATAAATATACCTACAGGCTTGTAAATATTAAAATAAACATTAAGAATAAATACATGAGTTAAGTTAAGAAACAATCTTTGTCTTTAGTGAAAACTAGATTTATGTGTTGTTTGCATGTCCAACTGAGCTTGAGCAATATTTTCCAAAGCAGACTGAATTTTCTCCAGTAAAAGCTCTCCTTTTTGTACCACAACTTCAAGTTGAAGGGCTGTTTCTTGATTTTCAATTTCTAGCCTTTTAAGGCTAGAATTTTGTAACTCAATAGAACTGTCTTCATTTGGTAATGATTCTATTAAAGTGTCAATATCCTTGGCACATCTTGCAATTAATTGCGCGAATAGCTGAGCATAATCTTCTTGTGGTTGATTGGAAGTTGGAGTTTGCGATCCAGTTCTGTCGAAATTGGCAAACTTACTTGGGTAAGATGTTTGTTGAATGACACCTATCGCATTGCAAAAATGCTCCGCTTGCTGCAAAGTAAAATATTTCAACATTCCTTTAAAAAGTCACATGTATTTGGAATTACCTGGTTAACAGTATCCTGCAACTGCGTGAGTCTATCCGCCATTTTTATGAATGAATTAATACGAGCCACATCCATAGACACTGCAAACAAAACTAGTTCTTTATTTTTTCGATAAGATATCAAAATGATATATCGATTCTTATTCTATCACAAAACTCGTATTTGGTGTTTCCACTGTTCAAGCATTCACATTTTTATTATTTTTTTTTTTAAATACAAACAATGAAAAACATAAATAATATCACTTGTGATTACACCAATAACAATTAACAATTAGTGAGTATGTTTATTTAAAAAAATGTTAACACGAAACTCATACAGAGCTGCAGAAAATATAGCGTATTTAAATATTTTACCAATGCAGATGCCGGAAAATTTTTGGAACAGAAGTGCTCACTTACATGATTTCCCCGACTTAGATGGGTAATTTAACGTGGGCGCCAATCAGTTAATTTTACTGTAGAGGTTCCCTCGCTGCTGTCTTCGTGCAGAAGTCCGGTTAGTTATTTCCCTCTACGTATTTAAGTTCACAGTGGAGATTCCCTTACCGCTGTGTCGGTACAGAAGTCCAGTTAGTGATTTCTCTCCAATGGTGAATTACGAAGATTAGGATGGAAGGGTGACTGCCCTTCTTAACCTGCTGGCCTAGAGACTCAGTCAGTATAGAAATAATAAGATGGTTAACGGCGGTTGCTGGAGTTATATTGAATGAGCTTGTGCTCTTTAATCGATGAATATCAAAATTGAAATGAACTTAAAGCTAACATAAAAAGGGACTCATAGCGGCCACTCCAATGGATAGTGCTTGGCGGCTATGCACGGGCTTCCGGCCAGACGCTGTGTCAGCAATTTGGCCGGAGCGAGCTTTCGGACGATCGGTCATTGCTTAGTTAACTTATATATACTAGCTGTACCCTGCCACGTTTCTCTGTGGCATATTGTGGTTAAGAGGGCACTTCTGAATAGTTCAAGGTTATGGCAAAAGCATCTTCCTGGCATAAGGTGAAGAAGGCAGTCAGAGTTGTCGTAGGCGGATTCAGGACTCTTTCTTGCACATTTAGTTCTGTGAAATAGACACGTTGACCATTCTCCAAATTTACTGCCAAGTGAACTACAGCTGGATAGCGGTCATGAATTGGGATCGAAAAAATTCGCCATGCAGCCTCGTTGCTGCTTATGTATCTTCCAGCCTGGTATTGAGAGATTTCATCGACAACTCGTACTGCATTGCTGTCACCATTTTCTGCCTGAACACCAAAAACTGCCATATCGCTGCCTTTATTCACGTACTTGCAGTTATATTTAATCGATTTCACGGAATTGCAATATTCTACGTTGATGTGCGCTTTGTATGATTTTGACAATAGTGGTGAGTATGGAACCACCCAACGATTGTCTACCTCAATATCACCAATTCTCATGTTTAAAGTTGCCGAAGTCCCTCCATCTTCAGTTGACCGTCTCCTACACAGAGGATATCCATCGTCCCCTGTTACGGTGTTGGCTGTAAATGCTCGAGGATATCGCTTGGAACACTTCCCGTCTACCATTCATGGTGAACATGGGTTGAGGGTACCACAAGGGCCATGGATCATGTTCTTGATGACAACTTCATGCAAATCCGTATCAACCTCTGCCCATGGAATCTCAGCGCATATAACATCGTCGATTTCGTCTGGAGTAATTTTATCATACTGAATACATCTAGCACCGCACAGATCCAAAAACTCCATGTTTCACAATGAAATCCATCAGTGACTTGAACTTTTGTCTGAAAACACGGGCTGTGATGTCATGCCTATCCCTATATGATTGTGCAGGAAATAACAGCTGTACTATCTCGTCCCAAGCTGGATTTCATGTGAAGGTGATAAATAAATATGGACGGCCGTAGCAACGAACATATGCCATGGCATCTTGAGCATATTCATGCATGTGGCGTGGACTACCTATGTATGAGGATAGCAAAATCGTGAGCTTTCCAACGCTATATTCCTCGGACCGAAGTTTCGTCTGATTCAATCAAAGGAGCCTGACAGTATATGCAGACCTGATGCATCCGGCCAATAACGACATTGCGATTCGAGCTGTAATCAACAGTTGGATTGTATCTGAATGCAAGACGATTGTATTGCAGGTTTTGATCTGCTGCAAACTGTAAACGCGCTTCAGCTACCCTTGCCCTGTCGCGTTCATTATTTTGAGAGTGAATCAAATCGATTGCTGCAGAACGCGACTGCCTAACTCTCAATCGTTTTCTCTCAAGCCTATCTGCTCGTCTTTCTGCTGATTCCTCGTTGTGCATCTGCATTGCTTTAAGCCGCTCAGTCTCTGGGATGGAGGCCCGTTCTTCGTCAGTCATATTCGTAATCTTACGTCTGTTTGCTTTTGTATTGCGAGTACGACACGACGACCCAAACTCGACTTCTTGGGTGGCATGACTTCATTTCTTACTGAACCTGAACAAAAAATAAAATTTTTATCTCCAATTTCTTCTTTCAATATGTTTTGAATGTTTGACAGGAAATGCTTCGATTCAGCTAGCTGCCTGTAGAGGGCGCAGCAGTAGAGGCACGGGGAAACGCTAAAAAAATTGATATATTCGCAACCGCAGATAAGCTATCAACATCAAAAGTAGACAATAACCGAGCTGGAACCTCAACGCATGTTGTGTCAAAATTTGGGCTTAAACGGTTCAGAACTTTTCAAGTCTATGAAGGAAGTAGACACGAACAGAGCATTTTTATATATAGATTTAAAATTTTTATTCTATATATATATATTTCATTACACCGACACGATAGTTTAATAACTTAAAAAATGTTCCTTCCAATTAATGGAAATAAAAATCCGAAATATAAATATTTAACTAAACCAAAATTTTAGTCCACAGCTTCTATATAAAAATTATTTCTCCAAAGACCAAAGACTTTCAAGCATATGCGCATAAACATAAATATACCGGGCAAGCTTTGCTCTATTCTGCGCTGAGCGACAATTTCCACATATGTATTTACATCCATACAAATATACATTTAGCAAGCTTAGGCCGTAGGCCTTTTTCTTACAGAGTGCACATCCACCTGCTTTCGTATATTCCTCACATGCAAAGAACGGTGATACAGAGCCGACGAGACAGAATCCTACACCAAGTTTCGCCACAACGTTAGCTATTTTATAGTTTAGTGGCGGGTTTTTACACAATTTTTACGATTTTGATTTTATCTAAAGAACACAACGAACATTCTTTAGATAAAATCAAAGGTTTCCAAATAATTTTAAAATTATTGTAAAATATTTATTAGCTATTTTAAAGCTATACTATGATCCCAAAAGGTACCTAAATTCGAAATTCAAGGCAAAATATTTTATTTACGAAATGTGTGTCGCCCAGCTTATGGAACAGATCAATACGATCTCTCCTAAATCAGTTCAAGTCCAACCCGTTCCGACCCAAAATTCCCTTCCGTCTGGCTGTCGGCTTCCTCCGTGCGATACGGATGTTTACCCGGGTGATTATCTTCGCTGGGCGACTTTTCGAGACCTTTTCACAGCGGTCTATATAGACAATCCTGCGCTTACAACTTTAAAAAAGTTTTTCTATTTAAATGCCAAGACTAGTGGTGCAGCTCATTCCATAGTTATAAATCCGCCGCTCACCAACGATGGTTTTCGCTCAGCCTGGGAAAACAAACGATCGCTGGTGAACAGTCAACTGAAAAGGTTATTGAACATTCATTCCATTGTACACGAATCTTCGGCGGCCTTGATGAAGCTGCAAGATACCATCCACTATTGTCTTACGGCCCTCGAAGTGTCCGCCTTTCTACTGAAAGTTGGGAATGTCTTCTTGCTGATTTCTGCTCCACGAAACATCCTAAGCTGACGCTGGCATTATGGGAGCAGTCCATCCAAATAAAGCCAAAATTCCTACGTGGCTAAAACTTAGTTCTTTCCTTACGGAGCGCCATAGATTCTATTCAACCTTCTAAGATTTGTGTTCAAAAGATAACCAATCAGTGCGATTAGGTCCAAGCTTTAAGACAGACGTTCCCTAGGTATTTTATCCCACCCATGCGGAGTCTGCCATGGTGAATGTTCACGGGAAAAGGGCGCTTATTTTCGAGAGGCAGTGTGATCCCTCTATCAGTCTCAAAACGTCCGGTAGGCTCTCTGTCCCTATTCTATCAGTCAAAAGAGCTTTCAATCCGCTCGCCCAAGCTAGGTTTTAGCACTAAGCAAGAAATACATAGAGAAGTCAAACAGTACAAAAAAGTACTATCACAAAAACGGCTGAGCCTGGAACCCTAGAGCACCCGAACGATATGTTTAGAACCCCAGAGTGCGTTCGGCTTTTTCGAGTTCGAAGCTTTCGTTCGAAATCGAGCACAACAAGAATTCACTTTTCAGTGGCAGATCGACCGTGGAACGATGAGCAGGGGTGCGTTTCTTTGCGCTGTTCTCTCGATTCTGTGTATATATGTACAATCGCTCGCACGTTTGTACGCGTGTTCAAATTTCTGCATGCAGAGTCTTTTTCAAAGATTTTGGACGGCCACAGCCAGTGTGCCTCGGCGGCGGCACACTTGCTTATGACGCCACAGCAATACTTAGCGGCTAGCGCTTGCATTGGGGGACAAATTATTTAAGTTATCAGCCTAAGCAGCTATGGCTGACACTCATACTGCAGCTTAATTTGTAATTAAGTATACAGTGTGCAAATAAATAAATAAATATTTAAGTTATTTAACTATAATTACTACTTATTTTAAGTTTTTTCTGACAATATATATCCCGAAAGGCATTTTGTTGATGAATCATCGAATTTGTTGATGAATCATCGATGAATTGTTAATGAATTTTTATGCACATGTTTAATTTATTAACAGTTTTGTAGCAGGCCAGATAAGATAAGTATGCTCTGGCCACTCTTATTGAGATGTTACGCTCTCTCAAGAGAGAGCATGAGAGAGCGACTGGCTGAAAATGGGGGTTGTTTGAGTGGTTGCAGAGAGCGGCAGATCACTTGGTGAGAAGATCGGAACGAGAGTAGACGTGTAAAGACAAGAAGTGTAAAGACAAGAGTGAAG